CTGAGGGCGGGCTGCCGGTGTTCGGCCGCCGCGGCCGCGCGTCTCCGAGACCGGCGGGACCAGGTCCTGAGCGCGGCGCCGGCCGCGGGCGGAGGGCGGGGTGCGGGCCGAGCGCCGTGCCCGCGGTGCCCGCTGCCCCGTCCCTTCGCGCACGCGGAACGTGCAGGGCGTTTTAATTCGACGGGAAGCGTGTTTCGCGGCTTGCGCTGTTGTCGCAGTGCCGGCACCGTGGGCTAAACGTTTAGTGTGTGTCCCCCGCTGTCTTGGTGTCTGGGTGGCCGCTGGGGGGCGCCACTCGGCTGCTGGGACTCTCCATTCTCAGCGCTCGCGCCTCCGGCTGTTTGGCGGCTCCCGTTTTTTGAATGAATGAATGAATAAATGAATGGCCTAATGTTGGTTGGTTGGTTGGTTCTTTTCTACAGAGCAAGTTGTTTTCCTTTAAGACTTAACCTTCCCAAACCACTGGTCACACCGGCAGCCGTCACATTTAATAAGTAATTGGTGACATGGGTGCCTTGTTCCGAGGGGTGAGGCAGGTGTGTGGGGGGCGGGGCGGGACCGTGGCTCCTCTCTGCCGCCTCCTACGGGCTCCCACGCCGGCTCCTGCCCGGTCACCCGCTGCCGTTGCCTCTGAGGCTTCCAGGGGGCGTGGTTTAAACGGCACTGGCATCCGAGCCCGCACACCTGACACAAAACCGCATTTCAGCTCTTCAAAATCAGGCTGTCAGCAGATTTGCCACTGAAGCCCTTTCCCGTGCATCGAACTGTAGAAAAGAATGCAAAACTGCAAAGTTACAAATTGCTCGGTGACCGATGGCTCAGGAAGGGAAAAGGTCAGCAGGGGCCGCGCATCGCAAGGAAAGGCGTGGCGGGCGGGGCGGGGGTGCCGGGCGGGACGCTCGGCGCTGCGCGGACTCCTGGCGGCGCCTGCCACAGGCCGGGCACCGCGTGTGCAAGTCGTGCGGTCTTGACAGCAGCCTTGAAGGCTGGGCGTGCTGAGCACGGGCCAGGCCCGAGCAACGCCGCTTAAGCAGAGGTGTTGGGGCAGAGGGGACCAGCGGCGATTCGCTTCCGTGTCGTTTGTAGGGGTGGTTGGAAGAACAATGCACGTGAGGCTTTGACATCATGACATCCATCAGGCAAAGAAAAGGAATAAAAAACGCAGAAGTTTCTGAGGATTATGCAGCACAAGAAGAAAATGTGAAGTTGGAACACAAATTGCCGTCTGGTAGGTGATTTAAATGAAAGCATTTGGGATTGCTTTTATTTCTGCGTATTAAAATATCATTCCCATTAGGATAAAAATTCAGTGAGATCTAACAGTTGAGGAAATGGTTCTCATATACCCCCCAGTGTTTTAGCTTCACAGATGATTTGATTGCGATTTGATAATGTTGGTTTTACAGTTATGATTAGATGAGAGATGACAGAGCTCTGATTAGACGCCCTTCTCAGTTGTCTATTCAGTGGCTGGTGGTTATAAATCTGATCCTTGCACCTTCTAGAATAGTGCTGTCCCCCTGTTCCTTGTGTATGCTGTTCAGATAGACAGCCTTACCTCAGGGAGTTCCTCATTCCATCGAAATAGTGAAAGAGGACTCAAACCTGTTTTTATTCTTTATTTTCAGTCAAATTCCTGAAATTTTATCTTTTACTTTTTTTTATTTTGATGGGAAAAGTGGTCAGAATTTGGTAAGTTTTTAATATAATGCTGAAGACTCTTGTTTGCTAAGCCATACATATCACATGTTATTAATTACCCACTTTTTGCCTCCAGAGTTCTTAACTAAATATGGTCAAGATATTTAAAAGTGAGCATGAAAAATATATTTATGCTAGTTGCAACCATGTCGGTTCTTACAGCCAGGGCTAGTAATTTGAGGAGCAGTTTTATAAAATAAAGGTAATCTATGTTGAGAAGTCAGGCCATCCAACTCAGCCGTTAACAATGTCAGACAAGACAGAGAGAACTTTCTGAAGACCTCATTCAATGCAAATTCAAGTTTGATTTTTTAAATTAAAAAATAACTTTGAGGGTTGTTTATTTCACCAAAGCAGGATTTATTTATATCAGAAAAATAAACCCTGAAAACTAAAGAAAAGCAAAAAAGAAGGAAAACGTACTCCCCCAAACCCAGCCATTCTGAGACGAGTACCCAGGACACCTTGTCTTGTCCTGTAAATGTTCTCCGCAGTGTGGACCTTCCAGTGCGGTTTCACAAAGCTGGGTCCTACGTGCTGTGGGCAGCGTGCTGTGTTTCCCTCATGTTATGAGCGTCTCATAAGCCAGTCAGTGTGTTTCAAAATATAGTCATTGTGTGGCTGTGACATGATTTATTTTACTAATTCCATGTTAAATAATTAGACATTTTCTTTTTAACCTTTTATGTATACATACAAACAACTGTGGTAAATATCATTGTGGCCAAATGTTCGTTTAAAACTAATTATTGGGGGGGGGGAGTGTATGCCTAGATTTGGAGTTACTGGTCAAATGATAACTGAACCACAAATTATAAGAACACTGTTTATATCCTAGACACGTAGCCCATTTATTCTTCATGTAACAAACCTTGTCATTACACTATGATTATTTAACTGCAGACACAGGCTCCAGGCATTAGATGAATGAGACGAAGAACTTGTCAAGAAGCTCACTTTCCATTTGGCAGGATGGATACGTGAGAAGTAGGTCCAGTGGGGAAAGCTGTAATAAGTGTATGAAAACGGGTCTGTGGGGTCACAGCACCCCTGACTGTCTGCCGGCGTCACGGACGCTTCCCCCAGTGACACGCAGCTGGGACTTAGCTTACCCGAGTCTTCACCGGCTTAGTTATTTATCTGTTTCTGTTTTCTAGAAGGCTGTGCCAGCAGGCGACTGTGGAAGGCTCTGTCATTTACACTGGGTGGGACCATTGCCCTTTGCGCTGGACTCCTTACGTCTGTCTACCTGGCCACCTTACATGAAAATGACTTATGGTTTTCTAACATTAAGGTATGGGGCTTCTGCGACCATTGATGATTTACTCATTGGGGTGTCCAGCCGTTAGCCACACAAGCGAATGACCAACACAATGCAATTTTGCCATAAAGTTTCCACTCTTAAAAGGTTTGCCATGAAGTAAAAAGATTTAGTGAGTTTAAAGTAACATCAGAGTTTTTATAATCACTGTATTTCCTCGTTTTCGTTACGTACCCCAGTTATGCAGCAGTTCCTCTTCAAACTGGGTCATGGGATTGGTGCCGGAGGCCGTGAGGAGCGTTTTTCTGAAAGAATCAGATACAAGAGAGCCCTACCACTTGGGCTGGGGTGGAGAATTACCCGTGAAGCTTGATTATGTGGATGTATGTACAGATTTGGTCACAGTATAAACATTTTTCTTCTGTTGGTCACAGTAAAAAAACAAAAAGGGGAGAAAATGTGAAAGCCACTGCTGTAAACCATGGAGTCGTAACCTGGCTCCACAGGTGACAGCTGTGTGTTCGCACTTTTCTGGCTGTAGCTGTAGGGGGTGGGGCGAGCCATAATTTTTCCAGACAAAGGAGCCATAATTTTCATCACATTTTCAAGAGGGTTTGTGGACCTTTTAGTTTCAGGTGTGCAAAACAATGTATTAGACATTTACTCTCCTCACAAAATGATGATCCCCTTCCCCCAATCTACTACCCCTCTGACATCGTATGTAGCTGCTAGAGTCCCACTAACTCTATTCCCTATGCTGTGCTCCACATCCTGTGACTGTAGATATTAAATTATAGTTGACATTCAGTATTATTCAGTTTCAGGTCTACACTGCAGTGGTCAGGCAGGGGTTTGTGACCTTTTAAACATCCGTTTCCTGTTGTCTTCCTTTTCTCTCTCTCTAAACGTTTCTAGATGTCTTTTAATTTGGCATTGTTTTCAGAATGAGTACAGTATGCAGGGAAACTTACACATTGCCGGTGTTTTTCACCCAAATATACCTTGTTTTTGATCTGAAATGTCATGAGCTTATCTACTACCATGGCTTATGACAGTAAAATTCACCTTGAAGGGTCAAAGATTTATCATCTGTGAGAATATTCAAGAGGACTAGCGCAGCATCTGAGGACAGTTCCCAGGGGGTTTCCACAGTTCTTGCACCTTTGGTTCCCATGTTGGGATGAGTCTCCAAAGGAGACGACTTCAAATGACAAACTTCATTTCTATGAATAACTTGTAGCTGCTTATTTTAAAAACCTGTCATATTACTTTAGAGGTACAGGATGTATCTATATATCTTTATACAAATCATCATGATACCAAAGAATAATAATTCTTATCCGTCAGTGACAGTTGAGTGCTTATAAACAGATTCCCTATAACTAAGCATTTAATGCTTATTAACACAAGTATTTTGAACAAAGGCTCAAATATGTCTGTGTGGGCACGTAGCCGAAATTAAATGCTAGTGACTATATAGTGGGCGACGTGCTGAAAGAGATCACACAACTTGATTTTAAAATATAAGTTTAGTTATTTAATTTAAAGCTCACAAATGGCCTTCCTAGCGTCCTCAGGTAGGTAAGTCTTCTCCATCATCAGGAAACCTGGGCATCCTTGATCTTTACTTGCACCAGGTGAAGGAAGTCATTGTGTTTTTACCTGGTGTTTACTGAGCACCTGTTCTGTGGGTAACACTGATTTAAACTCTGGGGCCATGGAAGGAATAACAGCCTCTGGCTCTGCCTGCAGCCTTTCCAGTACATAAGTTAATGCAGTAAATGCATGTGAAGCACCTGCAGTGTGCCAGCAGGACTGTTTTCGGTGGTAGCAATACACTGAATAAGACAGCCCCCTGCCTCCGAGGAGCTCACAGCCTTGAGGACACAGGCCACTGCAGCACTTTGAAAATCAGCACTGCGACGGGGTGAGAGAGAGCATTGTGGGAGCAAGCACTTAGGACGCAGGGCCTAACCCGGTGCTAGAAGATTAGGGAAGTTTTATGGAGAATATGATCATCGAGAGACCTGGAGAATGAGAAGGGTTAACCAAGCAAATTGGGGAGGGCAGGCGGATTTCCACGTACAGGGAATACAGGAGGCGAGACAGCCTCCCAGACCTTACTAGCCGCCCCTTCCTCCCTCCCTCCACTCGCCCGCACTGCCTTCCTCGCTGCCCCTCGGGCTGTGGGCTCTTCCCACGCTCACTGCCTCCCCTCTTGGGCCTGTTCGGCTGCCAGTTGTCAGTGAGGCCCTCCCTACCGCGCTTCTCCGCTTGACCTGTTCTATTCCAGTTCTGGACCCTACATTATAAACCCCGTGAAGGCAGACTCTCGTCTCTGGTTCCCTGCTGAACTTGCCAGCAGAGGGGTGGTTGGCCTTTCTTGGTCAGTAGTATTTGTTGAATGAATGAATTCATGAATGAATGAATGAAGCAGATAGATTGGAGAACAGAGAGACCAATTAGAAGCACAGAATCCAGTGGGGAGACTAGTTTAATAGTTTAGGCAAAGGCTAGTCATTGTTTCTGATTGATACCTGTCTTTCCTTGAAGTCCTTTTCCTTGGTAACAAACGCATTATTTCTTCTCACTGAGACATAAACCCTTTGGGATCAAGGACTAAACCCTCACAGCTTTATGCCCTGTTTGGTGATAAGGAACGGTGATTCTCATTTGGCTAAAAGCACGCAAGCCGCTCAACTTTTAGTCTTTTTTCCTTATGCTGACATTGTCACTGCTATTCCCTTATCTGTTTGACATTACAGAATTTGTGTGTCTTCTCATTGAATAGCCTGGCAATGCATGGAGCCTTTAGAATAAGTGGGCTAGTCCGTGAGTGATAGCGACCACAGTACCAGGACCAAGAGCTGCCTCCGTGTCAGCCCAGTGGAAGACCTGTCACTTCAGCAGGGGTCTAAGCAGTCGTCCCGAGCTGGCAACTCGTGTCACAGCTCAGTCAAGCTGAGGACGTGAACCTAGCCAGCCAGGACACCACATCTGCGCCGCAGCCGGGTCCCCAGGGCAGCTCTGTAGGACAGTGTCTCCGTGCGCTGCTGTGTCTCCGTGAGCTGATGTGTCAGCCTGGTTCTGTCACGTTCCTGTCACGTTCATAAAGTCAGCCTTGCTGTGGCTCCCCCACTGCCCGCAGCCCAGCTATTTTTGGGGCCGTTTTTACAAACAAGTTATGTACATGAGATTTGAAAAAACTAATGACGTGTTTCCTTTGCACATTTGGTGTCATTTGTCTGGCGGGTTTGTTACACTTTGCGTTGCCAAGGACAGCAGTCAGTCACGTGAGCAGCCTTCCTTTCTTGGTGCTTCTCCTGTGGGCACTTCCGTTTCGTTACTACAGAATGCGTGCTGATGTGCTTTAGCGGCGCGTTCTTGAAAGTGCAGTTCTTCTGTCCTTCCCCCTCTTTCTGTCGTTGTCTTTAGGGCTGTGTTCACTGTCTCAGGCCTTCCCAGGGGGATCTGCTGCAACAGGAAGTGCCTGCCCGTTTTGCATCCTTCAGACAGTAACTTTCCCTGGTGTACATTTTCGTTGGCACCATCCACCAAGCAAAGTATAAATTGCTGTAAAACTGGAAAAGTGTTTGAATGAGTAAAGCAGATGTTCTCTTAGCAGGAAGCAGATGTAAAAGTCACAAATGTCTGTCTGACAAAGTACAGTGTTTGTTTCTGTCCAGCTGGTGCCGAGCTCAGCAGCTCATCATGTCTGCGCGCAGTTGTACTAATTGGGACCCTCGGTCTACACAGGCTGGGTATTAAGGGGAGGGGTGGGGGCATAGAGCCCCTGCTGTGAGTCCTGGGGGGCAGCGCTGTTCTTCTGGCCCATCTGTGTGAAGTCAGCCTTTCCTTCTCGGAGCTGTTGGCTAGGAAGCCCCTCCGTGTGAGTGCTGAGGGCTCTTACACTGCGGTTGTATGAGCGCAAAAACAAGCGTGAAAAAAGTGGGAAATGCAAGTAAAAAAATTCTACAACCACTGTATAAGACGCACCCAGTTTTTAGATCCCAATTTTTTCAAAAAAGGGTGCGTCTTATACATGATGGAAATGCGGTAATATTTGCTCAGTTAACGTCAATTCACAGCCTCTTTGGTTACTTGACCAAGTAGGAGTTTGAACATCCTGGAAAGGAGTGATACCAGTTTAGTTTTATGTTATCAAAAGCAATAGAACCGTTTTTCTCAGAGGTTAAAGATGGATTCACATGACTGCTAAGAGTTGCCTACACTGCTGTGAAAGATACATCACAAGTCAGAAGCAAATGTGAAAGCCGAAAGAGCCACATGGTTTCATGTTGTCTTTTGTATGAGGCAAATGTGCTGATGACATTCAATTTTAGAAGCTGAGTGGGCCTTCTTTTAATGTTTAATTTTTCCAGGATAAAGTTGTTTTTGATGAAAGGAAGCTCATTGTATAAGATTTGCCACCCTACCTTTCTTCCCGTTTTTTTTTTTTTTAAGAGCTAATGATAGAACATAATGGTTTCGTTTTCAAGATCAAAATTGGATGTTTATACCCTTAGGTAGTTGAGTATTTGTTTCTTCAATGCTTTATTCATGAATTGATTTGTAATAACTTTTTTTTAAAGGATAGGAGAAGTATTTAAGGCGTAGAAGAAATAAATAATTTCCAGGTCTGATGACAAATAGCACTAGTGGTTCTTTTAATGAAATATTTATTACTATTTGAAAAATAGTTGGAGGTGGGAGAATAAAAATGTGCTAAAAGAAGCTTCTCTGCTGAAAAGTGAGACATGTGTGTATTGTCTTCCCCAGTAATGTTGCGTTTGTGGCAGATAGATCTGCTACCATAGAAAAGCATAGATGGAAATGCCTTTCCGACCATATCACGGACTCGAGGCCCTGGTTTTCTGAACACTGGTGTAAGGGCACCTGTGAGGACGTAGCCATGAATCTTTGTTCATGTGCACTGTTCATGTGTCTAGGAGATGCTGAGTCTGAGGGTGGTGATAGGATGCTTCCAGAAGTCTGCCCCGTTCGCATTGCCAGCTGCCTGCACATTCTATGTTCATGGTTTAGCAATTTACAACCAAATGGATGAATAGCTATTGCTTTAAATTTTCAACTCTTCTAAAACTCAATATTTATGTAAAAGCAGTTTAAGTTTCTTATATCTGTTTTCCTACCCGAACATCTTTCCACTTGTTGAAGTAAAAGGCCCATCTCGTTAAGAGTACCCTACACTCTTACAATAGAAAGAAACTTATTCACGCCGTATGATGGTGTTAGCTTTTAGACAGGTGTCTGATGCAATTGTAGTTCTTTTCATTTGGGAGATTTTTTAATACTGTTCCTATTTTGTTTCTCTCTAGTATTAAATAAAAATGGTGGTGTGTTTTTAAGTTTTAATTTAATGTGTGAAATAAAAGTTTAACTCTGAAACGTCAACTTAAGGGAATTAGTTGTCTCCATGTTTTAAATGATTTGTTATGAAAAATTTTAAACATCCACAAAAGTGGACAGAATAAGTGTGATAAACCCCCAGCTTCTACAGTTATCAGCCTTCTCTTGTCTGTATTTGCCAACGTTTCTTAGGACTATATTTTCAGAGCTTTTTTCCACTTAAGTTGTAGTCTGTGCTCTGTTTCTATAGTGACAGTAGAAATTTAAACAAAACTAGGTCATGTACACCCATGGACCTAACTTCATTTCAGGAAGTGGAGCGAGAGATCTCCTTCCGGACAGAGTGTGGGCTATACTACTCCTACTACAAGCAGATGCTGCAAGCTCCAACTGTCATGCAAGGTAATTAAGCTCACTGTTGTTTTGGAGTTGGCTGCTTGCTTTTCAGCATTTCAGCCAAAAACTGCTTTGCACTAAAGCATTTTAAATGCTTTGTAGAACTTGTATAGTTTCTTCTCTGAACTTGTGTTGTTTTTCCTTCTAACATAGTCAATCCACGAAAATGTTTTGCTCTAGAAAAAGTTATATAATACTTTATGTAATGCTCCTTTCATTGCCTCTCAGCCCTCCTCCGTCCCAAAACTAATCTGTGCAATTTCTTGGTTTTGCTGCTGATTTTGCTCATCATTTGGAAGAGTTCTTTGCAGGTGAAAGGTATATTGTCCCAATGGAGGCATTTTGATAATACAAGTGAAATTACAGGTGTCCCCAGTGCCCCATCCGTTCCTTTATTTTGCGGTGGCCATCTCCCCACATTTGCACTGTTCAAAAGTGGTTTAGAGGGCCGGCCGAGTGGCGCGATGGTTAAAAGCTGGCTTGGCACGCCAGAGGACGCCGGTTTGGATCCCACATATGAGGGCCAGTGACACTGCCCTCTACAGCTAAGATGCTGAGCAACAGCTCAACCTGGAGCTGGGCTGCCATGAGTTGCCGACGACGGCGTGGGCTGCAGCCCCTGTGGCAGTGGGTTGCCATGGGCTACGTGTGTAGCCAGCAGCCAGCGTGAGCGGCCAGCAGCCGCAGTGAACGGCCGTCCAGAAGCCGGTGACTGATCTGCCTCACCCGGGAAGAGCGCAATGATGGTGCCAACTTGGGCCAGTGAAGCAACGTCCTCCACAACTAGACTGAAGAACAAAACGACAGCAACTTGTCTGTTCCCCTTCCCCCAATTCCCCAGCACTGTTCCCATCCCCCAATTCCCCAATAAAAATCTAAAAAAAAAAAAAGTGGTTTAGAGCCATGTTCTTTATTTACCTTTGCTGCAGCTAGTGGGAGCCCTAAAAAGGATCCCCCTGCATGATACATGCTCGATGAGCTTCACATGACACGTGACACAGAGCTGTCCCTTTCCAGACTTTGTTTGGATTCAGATATATTTCTGACAAGACTTCTTCATAGGTGATGTTTGGTACTTCTGATTTTATCACAGTAAGCAACATGAGAGTTTGGTTATCTTTCTTTTTGTGCCATAAAAATTAATCGGTTCCTGTGATAATAGCCAGATTTACCCATAAGAAGGTGAAATTCCCATCAGCCAAAACTTAAGGTTTGAGCAGCCTTTTGATGATTATTGCCCATCTGCATCATTCCAGTAGAGCTACAAAAGTGGCCTTCTGGCACTCTCCCTGTGATAGCTGCCTGGAACTCTGCTCTAGAAAACCTTTTTCTCATCAGTCGGTTGCCCCGAGGCAGTTGATCAAAGAAGGCGGGATACGTGTTGATTTTTTTTCTTCATGTAGTTGCTCCTCGTGGTCCATGGATTCGCATTTGCAAATTCACCTGCTCGCTGAAACTGATTTGTAACCTCTAAAGCAGCCTTCGAGGCGCTTTCGCAGACATTCAGAGCTTTCTAGCAATGGCAGCACAGAGAAGACTTGTGTTAGACGGGCTTCCTTGGCATGAGGACAAGTGCTGTTGGCCAGGAGTCACATGTTCATGAATTGACAGTGTCTATCCAGGAAGGTGCCTTTAAAGCAGAAACACACATAATGCAAGGTCATGTGCTGATCCATCCATGAAAATGTGTGACCAGAGGCCCATAGGAGCCTGACTGTTTCCTACGAGTTCGGCGTTGCTAATTCAGTTTTCACCACTGCCATAAATGACGAGACTCTGTACTGACAGATTCTGAAAATTACCACTTGCTTCTCCAGCATTCTCTCAGGCATTGGTTCTGATTGAAGGGCCTTCGTGTCCTTGGGGGACACCTGAAATGTCCGGAACGGCCGGGCGAGGGGGGAGTCTGCTCCTGGGATTTAGTTCGCAGAGGGCAGCAATGCTGCTGAATGTTCTACAGTGCACAGGACCGTCCCCACAACAGGTACTGGCCCCAAAGTGTCAGAATACCAGCAGTGCTGAAGTGGAGAAACTGCTGCAGAGGCGAACAGGGCGTCCTTTTCATGTCACTGTGAACTCAGCACGCTGAAATCATTTGTTCAGATTGTTCTAGAAAAGTTCACAGAAAGGCAGAGAGGGTCCCCAAATGGGTTCCACGTGTCTGTCACGCAGCCACAACTGCTGCCAGCATGACCAGCCTTGTTCCCTCTGTGCTCCTGTCCTCCACCTGGGTGGCTCTGGAGTAGCCCCCGACAGCAAGGACAGCTGCTGCCTCACCCGCAACTGTCATTGTGTTGCTCTGAGGCACGCAGCTGCTTTATGTTAACGTAGCCACATTATCATCATCACACAGTCTGAGACCCAGTCAGCCAGCGTGCTGGACTTGCCGCCTGTCTTACAGATTTTTTTTTTCCTTTAAAGATTTTATTGGGAAATTGGGGAAGGGGAACAGACAAGTTGCTGTCATTTTGTTCTTCAGTCTAATTGTGGAGGACGTTGCTTCACTGGCCCAAGTTGGCACCATCATTGCGCTCTTCCCAGGCGAGGCAGATCAGTCGCCGGCTTCTGGATGGCCGCTCACGGCGGCTGCTGGCCGCTCACGTTGGCTGCTGGCTACACACGGTAGCCCATGGCAACCCACTGCCACGGGCTGCAGCCTATGCCGTCGCCAGCGATTCACAGCAGCCCGGCTCCACGTTAAGCTGTTGTTCAGCATCTTGGCTGTAGAGGGCAGTGTCACTGGCCCTCATATGTGGGATCCGAACCAGGGCCCTCTGGCGTCCCAAGCCAGCTCTTAATCCAGTCTTAACAGATTTTTAGAGTAGCTTTTGAGATGCAAACAAAGCCCCCATACTTTGCCTGTCATCTGCCACACCTCTTTAAGTGTTTCTTTCATCTATAGGTTTCTTTCCATTTTTTTCTGGTAATTTTTTGTTGAAAACACTGATTGATCTACCTGATAGAGTTTCCACTTTCTGGATTTTGGGGCAGCCCCCAGGTGCTATTTAATGGTTTCCTGTTATTTGAGTTTCCTGTTAGTTAATTGGGGGTTAGATCTAGAGGCTCCCTGAGGTTTAGGTTGGTTTTTGGTAAGAGCGCTTCCCAGGTGGTATGGTACACTTCCATCAGGCACTTACTCTGACACATTACTAAAAAAATCTGAATAATTTTGAATGAATTAATAATTTTAACCATTTTTTTTCCTGATTTTTCAAATGTCAACCTTAGGTCTTCATGGCTTAATGTATGATAACAAAACTGAATCTATGCGGACAATTAACCTCCTTCAACGAATGAATATTTACCAAGAGGTTTTCCTCAGTATTTTGTACAGAGTTCTGCCCATACAGGTATGTTGTGTTCTGTGACACGGACTCATTATTGTAGCAGGTCAAAGTCAAAATCTGCCATGTTCAAACTCACATGTTCTGATCTTTAGCTTGGTATAAAAACAGCAGTATCCTAATTTTCTCCATAAATATCGTGAGTTATGCTTTTTATGTAATGTTTTATAAGATATTTTGTACATATAGATGCTTCCTGACTTGTCATATATGTGTGCGGTCTAGAAGTGATAAATATTTTCATAATGGAAACATGTAATCACTCCGCACTTATCTTTGAAATGAAAAACGGTGGGAAATTAGCAAATCACAATGCCCACCTCTCGTGTGAATCAGGTAAAAGTGGATGAAGATGGGTATGAACTGGCCTCCAGCCAGAAGCTGGGTGGCACAGCCCTGTCCTGCCCTGGAGCACTGGTGGGGAGCAGGGCTGCCGGCCGGGTTCGAGGGACGTGCTGCGGGCCCTGCTGGAAGCGGGTGTCAGCTCCTGAGCGCTCACTGTCTGCTGCTGTGTTTAAACTGGGGCTTCCCTAAGAAACATGTCTTGTTGTTCTATTTACAGAAATATTTAGAGCCAGTTTATTTTTATATTTATACCTTATTTGGACTCCAAGCCATCTATGTCGCTGCCCTTTACACGACCAGCTGGCTCCTGAGTGGCACGTGGCTCTCGGGACTGCTAGCAGCCTCCTGGTATGTCACCAACAGGTGAGTGGGGATCAGTGGGCCCCTCCCCACTGTGAAGTGTGAGCAGAGTGAAGGTGCTGCGGTCCAGCTCTGAGGGGGCTGCTCTGCCCCATGTGTGTGGATGGTGGTGTTTCCTCTTTGGTTTATCTGCTGGTGTTGGTCTCACTTAATGAGGTGAAAGTCCTGCCTGTGTGTATTTCCAGCTGAGGGACAGAATAGGTGAAGAGATCATTCACAGTAACCCAATTCTGTTCACAGCTTGCTGTGTGGTCAGTATTTCTCCAGTCACACATCTCGTCTCTGAGAGAGGTTTAACCATAGCTTCACTGTCACCTTCAGAGGGTTGGGTGCAGCTCCTGCTCAGCCGTGCAAATGCAGGGAGCTCTCACATTATTCAGTGTCTGTTGTTAGTCTCTAAATCCTGCAGCATTGTGAAACAGCACATTTTTAAAAGCATGTTCAAGATGCATTAAATTGTTCCTGACCTACCATAGCAACACCAGTACTGAGAAGGAGACCTAAGGCTTGAGCACAAACTCTGATACTGACTTGATTTTATTACCTAAACAAGTTAACTTTTCATTATAACCTACTGAGTGCTTCCTGTGTGCCAGGCACTTACAAGGTGCTTTACATGCATTCTTCTAACAGCCCTGCAGAGGAGGTGCTCTCATTATCACCATTGCAGAGGCGAGGAAATCCAGCTTACAAGGTTAACTTACAATGCTAAGGGCCGTGTGTGCGTGTGCACGTGTGTGTGTGTGAATACACATATATACAGGTCAAGGCGTATGTATTTATATAAATGCACACACAGCTACATCTTGGTCAGAATCCCAGCGAGGGCAGAGACCGTGATGTTATGCTACCTCTTACAATCGTGCTCTAACTTGATATTTCTGCTGAGAGTAAATGAGACTCACGTTCGACCAGACGTTTGCTGACTGCCCGTTAGGGGTGGCTCCTGGTCCTGGCTCAGGGATGAAAGCGTAACTGTGCTTCTCCTCTGGGAGTTCACTTGTAGGGAGGGAAGGAGCTGTCAGTGACGAACTTAAGACTCAGCATAAAGCCTTGGAGAAGACAGAGGTCCCAGTTGGCACCAGTGACATTAGAGCCAGAAGAGAGGCTGTCGGCACCAACGCTCATGGGTTTAAGCGCCATTTCTGCCACGTGGCTGTCTGCACACATGTGGGCAGCTTCCCTGCATCCCCTCATGCCTGTTTCGTGTCACGGGTGCCCGTGAGGAGGACAAGTCCCTAAGCCAGTAGCCAGCACCTGAGTATAGTTCACGTCACGTGTTTCTCACGTCAGGACATCTTGAGGTGAGGACAGTAGAGGTGATGCCTGGCTGTTCTGTCCTCTGCAGAATCGACACGACAAGAGTGGAGTTCACCGTCCCCCTGAGGGAGAACTGGGCGCTGCCGTTCTTTGCAGTGCAGATAGCAGCAGTTACGTACTTCCTGCGACCCAACTTGCAGCCTCTTTCTGAGGTAAGGTTCTGGAATCCTTCACGTGATCCTCATGCTTGTTTTATTTGAGAAGCTTCAGAAATGGGCCTGCTGGGTGTCCCAATGCGTGCACTGTCCTTATCGCGGGAACAGCTTTAACGTGAGTGAATGAATCTTTTCTTTCTGAGCCTTTTCCTACTTGGCAAAGAAAACGCTTTCGTTTCTGTTGTTAAAAATTTACTCTACATATACCCCTAACTGGTTGCCACAAACCACAGACGGTCCTGCAAACCGCCTGCGTTTCTAAGCAATGGCTCCTAAGAAGTGATTTGATGCCTTGTCGCCTGCACACTCATGTTGAGGACACACATCAGTGTGAATATTAATGTCAGCGTGGCACATGAAGACGCTGAGAGCTTAAATGACAGGTGCAGGGTTTTCAGAGCAGCAGTGGATGGTTTCTCTGTTTCTCTGTTTGGAGAACACTTGTCTGCGAGGCTCTGTGCCGTGGGAGCGGCAGGTCACACGAGGTCTTCTCTTCCCAGAGGCTGGCGCTTCTTGCTGTCTTTGTGTCCACATTCCTCTTCAGTCTGACGTGGCAGTTCAATCAGTTCGTGGTGCTGCTGCAGGCGCTGGTGCTGTTCACGCTGGACTCCCTGGACCTGCTGCCGGCCCTGAAGGTGAGCCCGCTGGCCCTTGGTTGACACAGCCACTGAGCGTGTTCTGTCCCAGTGTGAGCTCAGAACATGCATGTGCTGCTTCACTTTGTGGAAATGCGCTGCAAGCTGAGTGAGTCACGCGGCCTCGTTCAAGCCCCTTAGCTTTTGTCCTGCCTACTGTGCATTAAAGGATGGGTTTATTTGGTGGGTTATAAAACTGGAAGCAACAAACAGACACTCACACACACAGGCAGCAGCATGGTGGTTACCAGAGGGAAGGGGGCAGGGCAGAGAGCGTGAAGCGGGGCCAAGTGTGTGATGACGGAAGGAGCACTGACTCTGGGTGTGAGCAAACAGTGTGACGTACAGATGATGCGTTGTAGAATTGTACACCTGAAACCTCTACAATTTTACTAACCCGTGTCACCGCAGTCAATTTAATTTTAAAGAAATAGATTTATTTGGAGCACAAATATCCTTTATAGCGATGGAGATGACTTAAATCTTAAATATAACTCTTAAAATGGGTTGCTATGTATTACTTTTTTTTTCAAGGAATTTAGTAGGTGTATAACAAGTTTTCATGGCACTTTATAAAATTTTCATAGTAACATTTAACCAATCTCTACTGACTAGAAGAAAGGCTAGGATAATTCTTCATGACCTTGGAGTAGGCCAAGCCTTCTTAGATATAACACAGAAAGCACAAGTAACTAAAGAAAAAAATAGATTAATTGGACTTTATCAAAATTAAAAACCTTTGTGCTTCGAAGTATACTATCAAGAAAGTGAAAAGACAACTCACAAAAGAGAATATTTGCAAGTCATATATGAGGTTGGACAATTAAGTTCACAAACTCATCCTAGAAAAAGTGCTACGTACCTCATTGCTGAATATCACTATGGTCACCTTCAAAGTCCTCCTCATGAGAAGCTATGTACCGACACCAGCGCCTAGTCCACCCTTCAAAGCAACCCTTCAAAGCAATTTGGGAACGCTTTTTCTGGAATGGCCATCAGACCTGTCGTCGTATTACCCTTGATGTTCTGAATGTCATCAAAGTGTCTTCCTTTCAATATTTTATCTTCAGGTAAAGAAAGAGGTCATTGGGGGCCAGATCAGGTGAGTAGGGAGGGTGTTCCAATACAATTATTTGTTTGCTGGCTAAAAACTCCCTCACAGACAGTGCCGTGTGAGCTGGTGCATTGTCGTGATGCAAGAACCATGAATTGTTGGCGAAAAGTTCAGGTCATTTTCATCTAACTTTAACGCAGCCTTTTCAGCACTTCCAACTAGTAAACTTGATTAACTGTTTGTCCAGTTGGTACAAATTCATAATGAATAATCCCTCTGATATCAAAAAAGGTTAGCAATATCATTGCAACAAGTTTGCGAACTTAATTGTCAGACCTTGTATCTATAAGGGACTTGCAGAATACATAGAGAACTCTTACAACTCTTTCAACAATAAAATATGGACAAAGGAATTGGATAGACATTTCTCCAAAGAAGATATATTCATGTTCAATAAGCACATAAAAAGATGCTCAATGTCATTGGTCGTTAGGGAAACGCATATCAAAACCACAGTAAGACATCACTTTCCCACAGTTGGATGGCTAACATTTAAAACACAAAAAGAAAGAAAGAAACAAGGTAAATAGTAGCAAGTGCTGGCAAGGATGTGAAGAAATTGGAACTCGCATACCTTGCTGGGGGATTTAAAGTGGTTCGGCCACTTTAGAACAGTTAGCATTTCCTCCAATGTTAAACATAGAGTTGCCATGTGACCCAGCAGTTTCGCTGCTAGGCACAAACCCAGGAGAAATGAAAACAAGCTCAAGGGTTTTCATGAATTTGTACATGAAATTTTGTTTTCATTTTTTTTGTAAAAATCTGTACATGAATCTTCATAGCAGCATGATTTGTAATAGCCAAAAAGTGGAAGCCACCCAAACCCCCATCAGCGGATGAGCAGGTAAACAAAACGTGGTCCATCCATACAATGACGTGTCATTCAACAATAACAAGAATGAAGCACAGACAAACGCTACATCATGGGCGAACTTTGTGCTTATAAAAGCCAGTCACAAAAAGCACATACTGTCCAAAACATCTAGAACATGCAGCTCTATGGAGACAGAGAACAGATTCGTGTTGGGTGGGAACTAGGGGAGGGCAAAGAAGTTAGGGCTGATGGACACAGGATTTCTTTGGGGGAGAGGAGACTATCTTAGAATTAGATAGCGGTGATAGTTGCACGACTATAAGGTACACTAGACGTCATGAATTGTGCCCCTTAAATAGGTGAGTTTTACGCCAGAGCCAGCACGATGTGCCTGCTGGGAACCTAGGCTGGAAAGTGCGAGGCCGGGCCCCCAGCGGAGTTTTCCATCTGATGGGAAGTTAGGCACACACGTATTATAGATAAAATGAAGCAATATGCAAGACAGTCCTAACCAAAGTGTGGAAAACCAGGATATAATGGAACCTGATAACATACTGAGTCTGGCTGTCAACAGTAACTGTAAGAGATTTTAGCAGAAAATTGAAGACTGCAGCCTGCTTTTGCCTGTTTCCAGAACGTTTTTATACCATTGTTCACTTCCTTTACTTCACATGATCTGTTGGTTCCCTGTTTCGTGTTACAAACTTTTAAATGTTCTGTAATCAAATGTTAAGGAAACAGCGGCATGTGACCTAGTCCCCTTTGTAGGTTGTGGTAGTGGGGCTGGGTATGCTCTGCATGCTTCTGTAACTTGAGGTGTGCCGGCCCCCCCACGGGTCCGCAAAATCCTTCACCCTTGGCTGGTTCACTGGGGCCCCTCTCCACCCCTCCGCCCTAATCCGGCGTCGCCCCCCCCCTCCCCGCCTCAGCGTCTGACCTTGGCCTTGCAGGCGTCGCGGCTGTACGGCGTCCAGATTGCAGGTCTGCTCCTGGTCTGCGCGCTTCAGTTCCTCAATTCCATGATTCTCGGATCCCTGCTGATCAGCTTTAACCTTTCAGTGCTAACTGCAAGGAGACTTCAGGTAGGACGTTTTTTGTCCTTCGTCAAAGTGTGCTTGGTTTTTACTTGTGTGGCTTGTTGGAGCTCCTTTTCATGCTACATCCAAAGGAAAATATGTCCAAGTTCGCACTGAAAAGCGCTAAGGGCGTTCATTATGTGCATTTTTGGAAGTGTATGGCATAGCATTTGTCATTTCTCAGAGAATTAGAATCTTAGTCCACTTATTAGAAACAGACTTAGTTGACTATCAAAACCGTTAGTTCTCATTCATCCTTTTAACCTTAATTATAAATAAACGTCACTCATGTTTGAACTCTTTAGATATTATATTTGATAATCAGTAAGGTTGGCTGAGAGTTATAAGAAAACTAGTATATATCAAAGAGCAGATGACTTTTTTTATACTGATAGATCTTTTGTTTAATCGAGTTATAGCTACGCCTGTGATATATGAATTAATGGATGAATGATCAAAACATCTGTTCAGTATATATGCTGAGGACCTTCTAAGTGGCAGACTCCACATTCAGGTTGCAAAGGTCTTTAAAAAAGAAAAGACTAGGACACATTTGCCCATTTTATGGAGCTTCTTAATAAAGGATTCATTTACTTTTAGAAAATTAGAAATATTAAAACTGTAACCTCATGAAAATTAGTAGGTTATATTTCTACCTATTTTCATTCCATGTTGCATGATCCAATGTTTTAAATCCTTAAGTAACCCTTTCTTAAATGCTTGTGAAGTTATATTACAATTTAAGAATTAAAACTCAACTCTTTTAATTTCTAGAAAAATCTGAAAACTGGAAACTTCCTTAATAGGCTTGGCAAACTGTTGTTACATTTATTCGTGGTTTTATGTTTGACGCTGTTTCTCAACAACATTATTAAGGTAGGTTAATAAAATGACATTTAATTTAGCATTACTAAAAAGTTACGAGTTTTACTTTAAAAAGGCTCAGTTTTAACTTTGTTTCAGAAACAGGATTTTAGTCATTGATTTCTGTTCACTCTTTAACATGTCCTACCTTGAACTCACCTTTTGAGGTATTAAACTTTTTAGAAGCTCAACTCTAAAAGCATTAAACAAGTATTTAAATTTAAGAATTTTACACTTTAGAGACCCTTTTCTGCACTATGGTACTAAAGAAAAGATGGCATGATTTTTAGTGGGATAAGTTAATAAATAAATAAACTGGCCTTCCTGTCAGAACCGCAGGGTTTGTTGAGATGGCTTTGCCCCTTCTGGAAGGCTGGCCTCAAGACAGCACACGTGTGCAGGTACAGGACAGGCTCCGTCAGCATAAGAGAACAGCAGCCCCTCTTCCTATCGGTTGACAGTCAAAGAAAAAGAGGCCTTCCTCAACCAGACACATTAAACCCTCCACCCCAGGCCCTTGTTACTAGGTTCTTAAGCCCCACACAGTTTGGTGCATGCCCAACCTTCTCTGGGCAGCGTTTCTGAAGGCCTGGCTGGAGGAGAGTGGACCTGTCTCCCTGCTCTGCAGTGCGGGGTCTGCACCTGGCATGTGCAGGGGAGGGGCTGCACGCCTGGACCCCCGTCCTAACTCTGCAGAGAATAATGTCCGTTGAACTGCCCATGATGTTTTGCCAGTGACAGGAATTAGGAAAACCTGTCTGTGAGTCTCCCTGCTTTTCATCTGGTACCCATGGGGGAACCTGCCCAGAGTCTCAGTTCTAGGACTGTCAGGGTTCTCTTAACCTGTAACCCCGTGAGTCCCATGAATGCTTGTATGTTCCCCCTGCTTCTGTGCTGGAATGTGTGAACCCAGGCTTGTGGCTCATCTCTAGCAAATGTATTTTCTGTCCTAACCTTGGTTCTGGAGTTATCTTATGTTCATTTCTATCTTCATTTTTCTTCTGATACAATTTCTCCCTCGTTTGTGTTAATGTAGGTTTTTATAAGCCATAAATCAAAAATACAATTCTGTGAATTAAAACCATAACCACTGCTGGTAAACACTGGCATTTGTCCGTTCACCAGCGCTTCCGGGTGACTGCTGGCCGCTGACTTGTGTGTGACCGTCTCACAGTGGCCGCATGTGCAGGCAGAACCCCAAAGCTGACAGGCTTGAGCACGGCGCTCCTTTAGGCTTCAGGTCCCCCACTGTTGGTTCTAGATCTAAAAAGTGGTGCTCAGCGGGCTCCCGCGGTCTATTTTCCCTGAAGCCAAGACATTGTACTTAGGCACGAGGTTCTGTCAAATGGTTTTCAGAAAAAGGAACGGGGCAGCTGGAAAGCCCCAGCTTTGGAATTCCTGTCTTGAGACCCGTTGGGAACATCACTGGTTTTACACACTCACGTGCACAGTCCTGTGAAGCTGGACGCTGAGTCTGTGCATCGGGAAGCCCGCTCGGCACTAACGCCACTTTCCTTTGTCCCGTCCCCGTAGAAGACCCTGAATCTGAAGTCAGATGAACACATATTTAAATTTCTGAAGGCCAAGTTTGGGTTTGGAGCAACAAGGTATGACTGAGTAAAATCTCTTGTTTTTTACATTTACTTAAAAAAATTTGTGTTTGCTTATCCTACTAAATCAGCAGGGAATTGAAAACGTAAGTTGTCCTTGTGCCTTCAGCTGTTAACTCTGGGCTCCTTTGGAGGGAACGACTTGTTCACGTACCTCGTATCGAGTTACCCACTTGGCTTTCCTTTTGTCCCCAGAGATTTCGATGCAAATCTGTATCTGTGTGAAGAAGCGTTTGGCCTCCTGCCTCTGGACACATTTGAGAGGCTCTCCGACACTCTGCTCTTCTATGCTTACATGTTTGTCCTGTGCATCACAGCGAGTGCGGCCCTAGCTGGCGCCCTCCACAACCTCAGGTACTGCGTGCTTCAGAAGTCTGCCCTGCTGAGCGGCAGAGAGCAGCGCTGCTCAGCTTCAAGCGCCTGCACCCTCAGCAGCCGCGGGGTTGTCAAGAGGCCACAGAGGGAGTGGGTGCCGTGCCCATGGGCCTGGGTCAGCCCTGGCCTGCACCCTTGGGAGCCGTGTGGCCCCTGGCCCCGAGTACAGCCTTTCCATTCCCTGCCTGTACAGGGGATACTGAGAGTACTTCTCTGTTGGTTTGTGAGAAGTAAGTATGTCAAAGCCACATGAAAGCCTCCAAACAGCCCCTAAAGGATTCTGTAGATTCTCGCTGTCGTCAGCTATTACCAATACTATTATCAGTGTTGTTACTGACCCCCAGCCTCGATTGTGTTCCTGTTGGCAGCTGCGTGCATTTTTTTCCTTTCTGCCCCTAGCTGCCTTTCTTATTTCTCATGAATTCTCGAGAGCTAGCTGTTGTTTGTTTGCTGCGCCTTGTTTAAGGGCTTACAAAGGCAGAGTGGACCATGATTATTAGCATCTCCTGAAAGCCTTAAGAAATAATTGACAACTTTTTCAAACTTAGCATGCCTACTGCTCTGCTAAAAGAAAAGGTCAGGGTGTAAAGACAGAACTTGCAGAACGCCTGCCTGCTACGCTGACGGGGGTTTTGCACTTACTGTCCCTGTTAAATGGAAAGGAAGTTAAGGGCAAGAAGTTGAAGCTACTGTCATTTATGGAACCTTCCTGAAGCTCAGAAGGAAGCCCTTTCTCAAAGTGGTCGCCGTGCCACTTGAGGTGCGGTGAACTGTGACCTACGCCACCAGGGGCCGCGCTGGGGAACAGCTTCCAGCGAGCCCAGACCAGTGAGGGCCTTGTCACTGCTGAGAGTAAAGCGACATGGAACCATGAAAATCCTGCATTGCCTAAACTATCTTATCATCTACCAGAAGTGTTCTTTTTATACCTAGCCCAAGGTGAAACTTAGCCCTGTGAGGGTAGGTGGAGGTTATTCTAGAGTCATTGTCGCTGAACAATGCAGACACACCCGGTGTGGGCAGGACCTGGCCCGGCGAGGGCACAGTGTGGAAGAGCCTCAAGCACTCCCCAAGCCGACCTGGTTATGGTTATAGACCAAGCGCTTAGAAGGGCGGCAGGACTTCTGCACAAGGAGAGCCGTTTAGGAACTAGCTGTGGAGTAACGGGAAAGGTATTTCACCAGTGCCAGGTGTGCTGGGGAGGACCGTCCTCATGTTCACACCACACGCCCACATCGGTGCAGGACAGGACTGAAGGGCACGCCGCACAGTAGGCGGGGCCGCAGCACGTGCCCCAGAATGCACCCCCCTTGCCGGAGGCGCCTCTTGCTGGGCACGCAGAAGCCCGAGTTGGGCTGTAATAGGTACCCCGTAAGTGAAGACTGTTACTGGGGGTGGAAATCACCTCGGAGGCCATGTTCCTTTTCTTAGGGACCTAGGCTGGTAAGGGGAGTTTCTAGGACATCACACTTCTCACTCCACAGCAGCACCTCGCATCCCGGGCTGGATGGGGCCTTGCCAGAGGCGTTCTTTGTATCTCAAAGTGGCCGCCCTCACTGTGGTTTGCTCTTCCCCCCAACAGCAAACCACCGCATCCAAACCCACTCATCCGCCTCCCCGTCCCTGAGGCGGGGACAGCCAGACATCACGTGATTCCCAGTGGGCTGCCATGTGGGACACGTGCTGTGAGGTGTCCTGCCAAATAATGACCTTGACACTAATAATTAGCCCCTAGGTCTAAGTACACATTTGTAAGAAACGGAAACAAAGAGACGTATGTTAACCACCACAGGGACACAGCCAGCCAACCCAGGCGATGGGAATGATTACAGGGCAAATGGTACATTTTCCTCAATCAACAAACGGCCTGGGCTCAGGGGGTACTTTTATTGACTGGGAGATAATTAAAGAGACAGTGATGAAATGGGGTGTGAGAGATTTGGGTCCTGATCAAGGAGAGACCTGAGAAAAGCAACTGCAGAAAACGGGAAAAGAACGTGAGCTGGGTGTTCGATGGCATTAATGAATCGCTATTAATTTTATGGGTGGCATCACTTTAGGTGCCACATTTCACCAAAAGGCATCTGTCAGACACACACATGAGCACTGGAAGGTTTAAATGTGACCATTCCTTCATAAAGGAACTGAATCCCAAGTTTATGGATACATTTTTACTTATTTGTAAAAACTTGAAAAATACTGGTAACTTGTAAAACATCTTTCAAGATCTCTTAAGTGACCTCAAAAGGATTTTTTTGGGCCAGCCGAGTGGCGCAATGGTTAAGAGCTGGCTTGGAACGCCAGAGGGCCCCTGTTCAGATCCCACATATGAGGGCCAGTGACACTGCCCTCTGCAGCTAAGATGCTGAACAACAGCTCAACCTGGAGCTGGGCTGCCATGAGTTGCCGGCAACGGCACAGGCTCCAGCCACTGCTGCAGTGGGTTGCCATGGGCCACCATGAGTAGCCAGCAGCCAGCGTGAGCAGCCAGCAGCCGCCATGAGCGGCTGACCAGAAGCCGGCGACTGATCTGCCTCGCCCGGGAAGAGTGCAATGATGGTGCCAACTTGAGCCATTGAAGCAACGTCCTCCGCAACTAGACTGAAGAACAAAAGGACAGCAACTTGTCTGTTCCCCTTCCCCCAATTCCCCAGCGCTGTTCCCATCCCCCAATTCCCAAATTTAAAAAAAAAGAAAAAGATTTAACTGAAATTATATACCCAGCTTTAATTTTGTTTGTGTGCTATTTTGTTCAGTGATTCTGCGAGTCAGCAATCCACGGGTAGCGTGGGGAAGGGCGCAGTCAGCCTGAAACCGGACGCTGCCTACAACTTGGCGCACACCGTTTTGTTTGGACTCTTGGCGTTGAGTACAATGAGGTATTTTTGTCAGTCTGTCTGATTTACATGTTTATTCAACCACTCATTAATGACATAATCTAGCAATATAATTTGGGAACTGACAGTCCTCTTCATTCATGATTATGGTTCCCATGAAAATGTCCTTGTCTACTGCCCTCTCCCAGGACAAAATCGCATTTATAACCAGTTTTTTCCTAAAGACCAACAGTCCTCATTTTTACTGATGTGATAGTTCTCAGGAGGCAGTGGAGTTAAGAGCTAACCTTTGGCAGGTGTTTCCGCAGACTCTCAGTAACATTTGACCTTCACTCCCTTTCTCCCCCAACAGAATGAAGTACCTCTGGACGTCACACATGTGTGTGTTTGCATCTTTTGGCTTATGCAGCCCTGAGACGTGGGAGTTACTCCTGAAGGCGGTCCGTCTTTATAACCCAAAGAGGGTCAGTGCTGTCCCCTTTTCCGTTTCGTTTTTATGACTTAGTATTTCTTTTAGTTACCATCAGTCTGATAAAATGGATACTGACATTTGAAGCTAAAAGTACATAATTGATACATTATGATTTTATAAGGAATTATTTCTTAATTTTTAATTTTAGTTTTTAAATGATTTCTATTTTCTCATAACCTTTTTAATATAGTTAGATGTCCTCATTATACAAAATTTAGAAATACTGAAAAGCACACAAAAAAATTTAAAAACCTCAGTCATCCCATTACCCAGAGCTGTCTCTATCTAATTATGCTGTATCATCCTACAGATAATTGCTAATAAGTGCATGGTAATGGTCGGTAGCCTGTGTGTGCAGCTTGGGATTGTCCTGCCCTGCGGGCTTCCGCTGTGGCTACAAGTGTCTGGGCCCCTTACGTTGACCCTCGGTTGCTTTGCATGTTGGAGACTCATGACCCACTGACTTTCTTCCTTGTGTAGCTGTGTGTGATGCGGTTCTCGGTGCCGATGCTAACACTGCTCTACGTGTCTTACAAGGTAAGACAGTTTCCTCGTTCTTGTCATGACTTGCGGAATGCTTGCCCTGACGATTAGCAAATGGAGTGGTTTGTGTAGGTAATAAATGTCCCCTTAGCTGCTTATGGCAACTGGCTTTAATAGCAAGCCTGATCTGTTTCCTAAATAGTATTTACAAAGTAAAAATATAGTAAAAACGACTACAGTTTAACCAGTCTAATTAATTTTGGCTTTGGCTTACTATTCAGCTGATGCAAGTTCTGAAAATAAAGGTGATTCCTGAACTTTTTTATGAATAAAGTAGAAAAGTGATTTTCCCCCTTTACCTGCCTTATGTAAAGACTGCTGTCTCCTACATGTTTTATTAGATGCTCAGAGTCACCTCTGTACAGGGCTGGGCACATGTAAATAAATGCAGTCTGAGATGAGCCCTGTTATCTGTCACTCAGTTTCAGTAGAAAATAATGAAATTCTTCATAGTTTCAGTCGAGTAATTTCAGAAATAATGTCAACTGTGCTTCACTTCTGAGAACCCCCATTAAGAGACTTGAGTCATTAAGTCGACTACTTTGTGTCTCTTCTGTCGCATCTTTGATATTTAGAGGCTTGAATTGTCACCTTGGCAGGTAGCCCAACCTGTCTTATCCAAGTGAGCTCTCAGCCTCTCTTTTTAAAACAGCTTACATATTTTGTAAGTTTGGATGTTTTTCCCCACATTTTAAGTTAGAACAGTGGATTTCTACTGTGCATAGCCCCTGACGTGGGAGGGTGTCTAACGCGGGGAGGAGGACTCACCCACAGAGAGGATTGGCTATAGAAGCTCAACACTTGGGCTCATTTGCTTATATTTTCATGTAAGATTTTGTTTGAAGCAAAGGGTTGATTCTAAAAAAAAAAAGTTTGATAATCACTTTGTTGGATGATTCTATTGTCAGTATTTCAGAAACTTATGTTGTATCATGTTCCTATCTGACAAAACATTTACAGTGACAGGCAGAGCTCTCCAGATGCCAGAAATATAGAAACAGATTATTTCTACCACCCTGTCTTTCGGAATTTGATGACTCTAATATAAATAAATGGAACTTCTTAAAAACATCTGAAAAGCCACAACTGAGGATTAAGCAGCGTGCAGGTTTAAGCATGAGTGAGGTAGCTCCCTTCACATGTGGTTCTTAGGGGACCCGTCCTGGCGGGGAGGCTTCAGTTCCTCGCGTTTCTGTGGCACCTCTGATGGCCCCCTCACACCATACCAGTCGCCCATTGTCTGTGTGTGGAGGCTGAGTTCTTTTCTGTCGCAGCTATTTTGAAAGTTTATTGATTTTTTTTAAAAAGCTACATGGGGACTTAAGTGTCCTGTTGTTGATAAAACTGGGGGAAGACATAGTAGATGAAATAAACTGCGCTCTGGAGCCGTGGCTCTCAGCATGTGGTCCCCACCAGCAGCCTCAGAACCACCTGGGAACTGTGGAAACATGTCTGGAGTCCAAAAGTTGTGCTCTGCCCAGCCCTCCTGGCCAGTGCTGGTCATGGGGGTGACCTGTGCACTGGGGGGTGTTAGCAGCAAGCCCGCCTCTACCCACCTGGTGCCAGGAGCACCTCCCTCCAGCCATGACCATCAGAACTGTCTCTAAACAGTGCCGAACATCCCCTGGGCTGGGGCCTAATCCCTCCCCTCACCAGTCTGGAGAACCACTGCTGTGGAAGAACTGAAAAGCCACCATGCCCAGGGACCTTTGCAGATATTCCCTGAGAGGCAGGATTGTAAAAAAACCTGCCAAAGACCCGCTGGGCTGGCCTCCCTCGGTATTGGACTGAAGAGAAATCACTGCGTAAAGCGGTTTGGCTCTTTCAGCTTCTCAGCACTTGCATGGTATAAAATCCCCCAGAAAATAAAGATGATACGTATGTTGGCAGTTACCCCGAAGTGGAATATGGTTTTCCACCATGGAGCAGATTCCCCTGTGAGGCATAGGAACCGGTGTTTCAAAGCCTGGCTTGAGTTTTGCATAGCAACGGTAATGAGGACCTCAGAATTTCTTGTTCATAACTCCAGCCTCGCTGTATGGCGCTCCAGGAGGATCGTGGGAACAGGGAAAAGCATTCGCTAGTCCCCCTCTTACCAGTGTTGCTGTCCTTGGGTTGGTCAGCTCATGCAGGTTGCTGAAATCGCATGTAAACTCTTGTTGATCATTCAGGAACAACATTTAGTTAATTCAACACTTTTATGTTGTTTTAGGAGTTCACCATGAGACTGTTACTAAATTGTAACATTTTCAGATTTAACAACAGCAACTTTCAAACTAGAAGAATATCTAATACCCATTGAATGCACAGATATAAAAATATGTTTTATACCAAAAGAGCTAGAACATATCATTAAAGATGTTTCTATTATCAAAATTAATAGAAATACACCTGAAATTAATTTTTAAAATTGTTTACAAAAAAAAATAGAATAATGGATAATTGAAATATTACAAAGCTATCGTTTGATCAGTAGCTTTTATTACATCTCTTCTAGGACCTAGAACTAGCAGTGCTGACACCTAACTTCCCGTTTCCACTCCCCCCCCACCCCGGAGACAGAGTGAGCAGTAAAAATGGCCCAAGAGGAGATAAGAAAGTGATGGGGCTAAAACAGCCACAGGCCAGTCCCGTTGGCTCCAGTTGATGGTTCTTACATGAAACGACTGCCCTTCTAGGGTCAGTGAGGCCTGGGTCCATCGCCCCAGCCTTCTGTTCCCATGTGGGAAGTGAGTCCTGGGGTTCGCCTTGGGTGTGTGTAGGCACCCATGTTTTTAGCCAGTTTTCATGCGATAAAACAATTAACGTTTAATTAGTTGTCAAATTAGTCAGACGTGTTATATTAGGAACGCGGTGGACTCAGTAATTTTTACGTTACACACAAGAGTCTTAAGGACTCAAGCTGAGCTGCAGGCCCCGGTGGCGTAAACACAGTACTGAAGTGTACCTGCTCTCCCGGGCAGTCCTGCCTTCAAACACTCGTCTCTCCCATCATACCTGTAATTGTGTTCATATGTGTAAAACAATTTGTCCAGATTTCTAGGACAAAAACGAAAAAGGGGCTGGATTTGGGGTCAGGTTTCAGGTTGTTGCTTTGCCACATTTGACCTGGTCATGTCTGGTTCTCTCCGTAAGCAGAGGCCTCCAGACTAGTAAAAGGGAGATGACTCTTGATAGTGGTGATGCCAGCTCCTGAGGTTTGAGAGGGTGAAACGCGGAGGTCCAGAGCACCAGCAGCCCTGGCACAGTGCTGTCTCCTAAGGGCACACTGTGCAGGAAGGGCACACTGCGTGCTGCGAAGTTTCTCATAGCTGCTATTGCTGTCATCTCCAAATGAATGTCTCATTAGACACTAACCACATGTCCAGTGGCATCATTATTGAGTAAAATTAAAGCTCATCTTCAAAACTAGCTTCAGCTCAAATTAACTATGGAAACTTCCCTGAGACCTCAGCTCGCTCACGTCCCAGGAGGCTGAGGGCAGGGGCGAGGTGGTTCTCACGTCCCAGTCGCCAGATGTGCCTAGTTCACGAGTTATACGAGGTTTATCTTTTTACATTTTAATCTTAGTGATAGCTGTGGGTGTGGGGGTGGATTTTGGTTTTGTTTTGTTTTGTTTTTAATTCCAGTTCTGGCCAGGAGTGATGGCTGAACTCTCCGAGTTGAGAGAATTCTATGACCCAGATACAGTGGAGCTGATGAACTGGATTAAGTAAGAGGATTTTGTTTTAACCTTTAAAACTTTTAAGTGTCACTGTAGACCTCCTTTGGTTTTTTTGTTCTTTGCTTTTTGCTGAATCTAATTGTGAAGATGTGTTCGTTCTCAAGTTTTTCTCTAAGACTGTATTTAGAAATAATTTTTTTCCATTCAAGAAACATTCTCTCAAACCACAGACCCAGGAAGAAGGAAAACACCCACATGGAAAGGGAGACAGCGTAGGTGGAGGCATTTCAAACCACTGACACAGTGGGATGAAGGTCTGCACTCTGCCAGTTGTATTCTTATCACGGCTTTCGTTTTAATACCATCCACATTTGTATAATGTTGACACATAAAAGGACTCTTGTTAGTCATTTAAATACACTGTAAGTACAGTTCGTTTGAGTAATTCTAGCTCAGTGCAGATTTTCATTTTAACTAATCACATTGCCCTTGCCCAGGCCTAGAGAACATTGAAAACACAAGCTAGAGCCTTTTCTCTTGAACATCTTAATGCTTTCAGCGTTACGTTGGTTATTTCTGCCTGTACTTTGTTGCTTTGCCTCAGCATTCAAAGCTTTGTTAATGACACCTGTGTCCCACCAGCAAAAATAAGCTTCTTTCCAGAGCAGCATTCTCATGCCCTGTACTACTGTGTTTCCCTACTTTATAACCCAAAAGCAGTACTATGATTATTCACACGTAAATCGATGTTGCAAACCTGGTGTGACACATTCTGAAAGCATGTGGTATTGTTGCCATCACTTAGAATTTTAGGGACATATTGGCACCTGCTCATGACTGCTGTTTACCACCAAGGTCAGGTCAGCACCACTGGGGTCAGATCAGCACCACCGGGGTCGGGTCAGCACCACCGGGGTCAGGCCAGCACCGCCCAGTGTTAAGAGATGGTAACTGTGGAATAGGTTAGGTCTCTTGAGTGCAATCCATGAATGTTACAGAGATTCACATCTAAAATATCTACGTGGCTTTGGTCCCACTGTTGGACTGGCTTTGTCTACCTGCAGTGATACAATTTTCATACATTTCCAGTACTGAAAGTGCTAAGCAGTGTGTTGCCTTTATTTCTGTATTTCACTTTAAATCTTGGCAGACAATTAAAGAGTAAGTAACCCCTTATTGTTTAGTAAGCACTGACCGTGTACGGGGAAAGAGGGCCAAGTGGAGATTTCTGACACGTGCATCTGAGGTGAGGCTGGCCTTCTCTGTGGCTAAACTCGCACCGTGGATGTGAAGGGAGAAACGCACCAGCCCTGGCAGAACCCTGAGCGGGAGGGTCTCCAGCACCCACCTGGGTTAGTGTCGTAAACATCCTGCCTCCACGCCCCAGCCTTCCAGGAATTAATTATCGCATCACTAATAGTTTATTCCAGCAGAGCCTAGGTGGTTTAGGGCTGTGTCAGACTGAGTGTACTTCTGTAGTGCCTTTATTGTCATGCCTTTCCTCACAGAAAAGTATTTAAAGTAACATTTCTGGTTCTGAATAATTGTGGATGAGAGATTATTCCCGGTGTAAAGAAGTCAGTCCATTATTTCTTCATCTGGGGACGTGTCTGTTCCTGACATTCGCTCACAGCCCCTCTCCCTGTGTGTAGACAGCCTCTTTTTACTTCTTTTTTAAATCTCAGCAGCTAAAGGATTTGTATTGCTCCCCATAAAATGTTTCCCTTGGGATCTAATCTTGCCTGTTTTCCTTTAAAATTCTTCAAATCTAAATTACCGTTCTTGCAAAAATAGCTGCTGGGCAAGCTTGTGAAACAAGCTTAAGTGACGCTGACGCTCTGCGCCCAGATGGGGCCTGTGCCGTCACAAAGCCTGTTTCTTTCAGTCGACATTTAAGTCAGTCCTGGTCTGTCAGCTTTGATCCCGAACACAGATGAATGTGCTTAACATTCTCGGAACCCTCTGGTGTCTTCGGAAGCATGGAGCAGTGACAGTGGTCGGAAGACCTGAGCTGCACCCAGGGAAGGCCATGGGCTCAGCGCTGATGAAGTGTGGCTGAGCGTCTGCTTGAAACTGTGGGGACCAGCGCTGCCACTGACGGGCGCCACTTCCCTCATCCTGTCTGCTGCTGTTCCAACAGCCAACGTCCTCTGTCACGACAGTCACAGCAGCATCTGCTGGGGTGGGGGTACAGCTTTCATTACTGGGTGAAGTGTCCTCCAGGATGAGTCAGGACCAGAATCGGGACCAAAAGTGACACTCCGTACTGGCACAGGGCAGCTCCTATGTCAAGTGTCGAGATGAAGCTCACGCCCACACCCCAGTCTGCTTCCTGTATGTGATGCTGAGGCTGTGGGCGTCCCCTCTGCTCCAGGGACACTGGGCTTCCATCTGGGGACGTGGTCTTCCCAGGTGTTCACTGAGGGTAGACTGAAAGACCCATCGCCCAGTGTGGTTAGCTGTTTTCTTTTGAGGGGCTTGGCTATGACCTTTCATAGACTAAGCAGACAGCTCCAGGGAGATGACGGCATCACTGCAGGATAACTAACGCGTATGAATATGAGGGTGATACCACAGGGATTGTCCTTGGGGGAAAACAGCCTCACTGTACAAGGCTCTGCGCGCTTATCTCCTCCTGCAGCTGTGCACTTACTAACACCACTTAACAGAGCCTCACGGAGCTCCAGCTGCGTGCACACAGGTGGCTGTCCGTCCTGACGGCCACGATGAGGGTCGGACCTCGTCTCAGCACGACTGCCTTCATTCCTCCACAGTCTCGCTGGTGACTCCATTGTAAGACTTGTAGAGGCGTAACAGATTTTAGTGGAAAGTATTTTTAGCCCTAATTTTTAGTAATAGGAAATGTTTTATGCTTTTCTGTCTTTAGTTCCGTAGAGGAGTAGAGACTTAAATTTAAGTATAAAACCAAGAGTACTTCAGGATTTAATTTCTCATTAATCTGCAAGGACATTTTGTTGCCATCAGGCTTCAGGGTTCCTCCCCCCTCCCCCCCGAGAACCAGGCAGGCAGCTCACCCGTGACCCCACACATGCCTGGCCTGTGTGTCCACCTGGCCTTGTCTTCCAGCCGATTGAAAGGCGTGTGTTTGTATCGACCCTTTTTCCTGATAAAGTTTCCTGGATACAAAGATTAAAAACCTCTGGTGGTTTGGGTTTTTTTTTTACTTTTGGCAAAACGCAGGTGGTGCTTTTATAGGTTTTGTGTGTGACTAGAAAGCACATTACTTCAAAAAGGCGAGATGTCACAGCTTTTGGTGGTCCATACCTCATTCCTTTGTGTCCTTATACGTTTCATTTTTGGTTCCTGAAATTCTTTTCTCACCCTGCAGTTAGGCTCGACCTGTAGATTTGAATGTTTTGAGGTGTGACATTCTAACTGCTTGGCCTTAGGAGATTTTCACCAAACACAGTCTTTCCGGGGACGAAGCCTGCATGTGTGCCCTTTCTCAGTGGGACAAACTGGCTTTGCCTTTCATCAAAGCAGAAAGATTTGCTCTATATTTTAAATATGCTGTTGCTCAAGTTCAGACCTGAAATGCCTATAGCCTCTTTTACAGTTAATGAATCATTTTGTCATATTTGCATACTTCTGTAAGTCTGAAGTGTAGAGAAAGCAAATGTTCACACATTAAAATGCTCAGTTTACCCATTAGTTCAACAGTCATTAGCTTGCTCAAGCTTAGAGCTTCAAAAATAAGTGAGGGTATTTGTTCCAAATGCCATCAGGTCTTCCTGGAATGACATTTACATTATATCATGTAAATCTGTTTGCCCTGTGAGCCCTTGTCATTACTTAGGGACATTTCTTACAGAGTAAATTATTTGCAGGCTGGGCAGCCTGTTAGGGAGCTTGACAGAGCCATAGAAACAAATTATCCTTTCATTTTAGACATCATTTGTCCGCACATTGGTAAACATTACTGTTTTTCTGTAATAGAGAAGTGTCACTCAGTGGTTAAAGCACATCGCTGCTTTGGACAAGACCACAGACTGTCAGCAGATGTATCTGAAGGAAGAGTGGGCGGCCTGTGTCTGTCACGCTGCGCGTTTGCTGTGACGGACACACAGCCCCTGCTCCTGTGCCTGCGAAGTTTACCATAGAAGATATAAAATACAGTGAATCTGGGTTTTTGAGGTTTAGAAGGGTGTGTATGTGTTTCATTTCATTCTACTTTGCTTATTTAATTTTGTATTTGCGTTATGGGCAAAGTTAAATATTTAAAGCAGCAGTGAAATATCCCAGATTCATCATGGGCTGGTATGCGGAACCCAGTCAAGCAGAGTGAATACACACCGTCTCTGCTGTGCGTGGGGGTCAGTAGTGTTCAGAGCAGCTATTTCTAATCCATTCTCTAGGCCTTGGGGCACTTGGATTTTGCTATTATATTTGATACAAAACCAAGAACCTTAGTGCTGGCCCGTTAACACGCCAGGAGGCTGCTGCACTGGCAGTTTCTTCTAAATCCCTGACTCTGCTAATGAGGCCAAGCCTTAAAACAGTCACAGCTGAGAGCACTTTGTCCCAGGTTGTCCTCAACTCCCCCCAACCGTCATGAGCCACACACGTCACCTCCTCTGCCTGCTGCTGGGTGGCACTGCCTTGGGGACTGTACCGCCAGGGGCTGAGGCGCTCAGGTGCCCTCAGAGCACACTGGGGGAGGCGGTGCTCACCACGACGGCACCATGCCCGATGCGTTGGCGGCTCGGCGTACCCAGAGCCCCAGCAAGTGTCAGTAAATGTGTGAGGGCTGACTGCTGGCGTGTCAGCATTTGCCTGTAGTGGGAGCTGAGTCTGGCTCCGCTAGCTGGCAGGCTTCTGGAAGACAGGCCATCATGCCGTGTTGGCCAGTCCAGCACATAGTAGGTCCTCGGAAATGCCGTGGATAGATTACAAGGTCAGCCACCTCGCTGCCACAGTTATGACATGCGCACTGTGCACTGTTCCGTGCGCCTCCCCAGCTGATCCGAATATATATTCACAGCAGTGACGATATAGTCAGATGCCAAGACAGCCTTGCGATGTGAGTGGACATCAGCAGCTCAGAAGCTGGGTTTGTTGTTTGTGTGGAAAGACGCGTATGGACAGGGGAGTTCACCCCGGCGGCCCTTGGCTGTCTCACGCTTTGCCGGACATGGGCCCAGACTCACATTTGTCCTGCGTCCTTTTCTGTTCAGTTCAGAGACCCAGAGACAGCATGTTGGGGCATTAATGCTATTGTGCCATCGATTGCAGCGGATTGGTTGGTGCCAGTGGTGAGGAAACGGAAGGAGGCTGGCTTCTGGCTTGGGAACGTGAGGGCGCTTTCTTTAATCCGCGTTTGTCTGGGTTTGCCCCCCTCAGCAGTGACGGCACGCTGTGGCTGAGAGCAGCCCAGTGCGCGTCACAGGCTGTCCAGCAAGCATTTGTTGAATTAACTGAATTTCTGTGAACCTTTCCCTAAGGAACCCGCACCTTCTCCCATTTTCACTAAACCCGCCAAGTCCCCTGACCGCCAGGGCACATGTCAGGAACTCCCTGGAAACGGCGGGGCTGGTTCCAAGGATGGAGAGCAAATGCCTGCGTGTCAGAATGAGGACAGCCTGTCGAGCACAGCCACGCTCGCTTCCCACTTTCTCCTGTTGGAATCCACACTCGGGGCTGCAACACGAGTGGGTCACTCCCTGGGTATTCTGTGCACTTTTTCGTCACTTCAGAAAGCTTGTTGCAATTTAAGTGAATGTGAATGCCATTGTTGGAAAGAAAATCTGAGCTTTTCAAAAGTAAATTATTCACAAGTGTTGCAGCTCAAACTGTGGGGTTTGCTGCCCACAGATGGACATTCTCGACCTTTGTGGGGTGGCACTCATGCTGTGGCCTCGGCATTAACTGGGAATAAACAGGGCTTCTCTTAGGAGTGGCAGCCCCAGAGCGCCCTTCAGGCCTGTTCTCCAAGCTTAAGAACAGCCCGCTCCAGCTTTTTCTGCAGGGTGTGCTGTTTTAATGATTTCAGGTAGACTGCTCCCCAAAAGTCCCCATCACGTACATTGCCCGAGCGGGCAGACTCCTCTTTCTTAACATGACAAGGACACGTGTCTCTGTGTCCCGGGGCCTCTGTAGGCAGCTCTGCGCTGGGGACAGTGCACCGGGGTGGAGAGGGGGGCGGTCCTTCACAGTCAGTGACACGCAGGTTCCACGGAATGGAAGGGAATTAAGTCCGCTGCTAAGATTCTTCTTCAGGGTGGGAAGGAAAACTCCACTGGTACCTCTGCCATGCCCCTCCCTCCGTGGGGACGCAGAGCCGCTCGGCCTGGTGGCATTTGGAAAGTGAGGTGATGCTTTCCCGCTAGAGCGTCCTGTATGCCTTAAGGTCCGTGGAGTTTTTCCTGACCAGGACTAAGGGAAGGGAATGTGGAACCAGCCCCACGTTGAGTGCTGTTGGCTATTGCGGAGTTTTCTTTCTGTTTTTATTAATTCTTTTCTTCTGAAAAGGAATCTGTAGTAATTTCTGTGATCTCTTGCTTGTTTGTAACAAAAACCCTTGGAATTGACTCACGACCAGCTGCGGTCCTGGCCGTTAGCTAAGTGTATACAGCGAGCGTGGCAGTACGGTGCGTCCTGTGTGTGAGTGCCCTCTGGAACTGGGCGGGTGGGCACGGGCTCCGGGCGGGAAGACCGAGCCCAGGCGACGCCGTCGCCCAAGACAGCGTGGTACGCAGCAGACCCAGCACAACAGTCAGTCGGGGCCTCCCAGCCTTGTCAGATCACGGGCTTGTCCGGGGAGCAGTGCCGGTCAGTCTCGAGCAGCCTCGTGTTTCCCGCCCCTCAGGCATTCCCTGCCCTCGCAGGCTGCTCCCGAGACCCGTGGGTGTGGCGCTGCTTGTGCCAGGAAACCCAGGCAGCTCACGACACCTCTCCCTGAATCTTTTAGCTCTAACACCCCGAGGACGGCTGTGTTTGCGGGAAGCATGCAGCTGCTGGCCGGGGTCAAGCTGTGCACGGGCAGGACGCTGACCAACCACCCGCACTTCGAGGACAGCAGCCTGAGGGAGCGGACCAAAGCGGTGAGGCCGCCTTCCCAGCTCCGCGCCAGGTGGGGCGGCGGGGCGGGCGCGCAGGGCTGTGTCCCCTGACCCAGACGTGCTGCGGAGCCGCCCGTCCTCGGTTAGAGGGCCTGAGAGGGAAGACACCTTGAGATGCGCAGCACGGAGCACTTGGGACCACCTCAGAGACCAGGAGTGAACGGGAGGCTCACTGGCCACATGTCTGTGGGCCTTCATGCGTGATTGTGAGTGTGTGTGCGGGTGCATGTGTGTGCATGGGTGATGCAGCCACATCGTCCCCAGTTCAGAACATACAGGAGGGGACGTAGTGAAGAGGCTCCCCCACCCTATCGTCCCTCCCCCAGGCCCCTGTGCCTCCCACGGTGCTTCCTGCACACACCAGCGCGTCGCCCACCCGTGGATTCATCTTCCCCCCGGGTGTCCTGACGCGGTAATGGATGCATCGGGGAGCGGACCCCACATCGGCACCGTGACAGGCTCCTTGTTGTCCACGCTGCATAGCATTTTGTTACATGGATGTAGCGTGTCACTTACCCATTTAGGTTGCCACCTGGCTTTCAGGATGTAGACAGTGTCCCAGGCAGTAGCGGTGTGCACGTCAGCCTGCACAGCAGGTGTTGGGAGGCGGGGTTCTGGGGAGGCTGGCACTGGGGGGCGGATGCACCGTCAGCCACCTGCACACAGACCACAGCAGGCCGTGTCCAGTCGTGCCCCTTCATCCTCACCAGCAGCACTTTCAGACTATGATGTTTTTGTGTCAGCCACTTCTTAATCTTCGCAGCTGCAAATTTTATTGAAAAGTCTTGTTTGCAGTGTTTTAACTAGCCTAAAAGCAAAAGATTTTTACTAAATCCCGTGTTTCATAGGAGAATTGTCTGAACCTAGATTCTGCTAAAATAGGAAGTTTTCAGGTGGCCCAAGTGTTTCCTATCACCCACGTTAGCCAGGAGGTGGGAGGGACCTGGCTCCCAGCTGGGAGGTGGCCTGGATATAGAGGGTACAAATCGCGTAAGCGAGTCCTGTGCCTCGTGTCCTGACTGACTCCCTGTGGGCGCTGGTGCCCCTGTACGGGCCGTGGACAGGGTGGCCTCAGTCCTGGCAGCAGAAGCAGATGAGCTCTGCAGACAGACGCATGGAGTTAGGCTCTCAGGACCGTCCCCTAAGCCAGGGACATGTTAGAAGCCAGCAGGTAACAAAGCAAGCCGCGCCTCTCTTCACCAGCACACGCAGGACCGTTCAGGACCAAGTCCCAGCATATAGGCCACCCCATGTGTGTGTGCTCTTAGGGCAGGTGACGCCAGGCGAATGGGGACACGGCACCCCCTGACCTGTCGGCCGCTCGGTGCCACCCCAGCCTGGGACCAGACCCTGCGGGGTCCTTTTCCCCAACTGCCCTTACCAGGAGCTGGGGCTCCTTAGATGTGTATGTGCCCCCAGCTACCATCAGCCCAGTGGACCCTTTTAGTGTAAAGGTCCCCTTTTGAAAGGTAGCCACTGTGTCTGACTTGCTTAGCCCTGAGGCTGGGACGCTGTGGAAGCTCCGGGCTGGCGTCTGCTGGTGAACAAGCTGACGACTCAAAGTGATCGGGTCTGGCTCCAGATGGATTCAGCAAGGCTCACACGCCCGTCCCCAAGGCTGACTGACAGACAGTGTTCCTGTGGCATTTCCCCCACTCGCTCCCAGCCTGCGTGGGACGGGACAGGGCTGAGGTTCGAGGGTTCGAGCCCCGCGGGAGGCCGCCCTGCCGGCTGGCCGCTGAGTGCTCTCTCCACCCTGTTCCGAAGGTTTACCAGATCTACGCGAAGAGGCCTGCCGAGCACGTGCACGCTCTGCTGCGCTCCTTCGGCACCGACTACGTCATCCTGGAGGACAGCATCTGCTACGAGCGGAGGCATCGCCCCGGCTGCCGGCTGCGCGACCTGCTGGACTTGGCCAATGGCCACGTAAGCGTCCCCTGCCATGCAGACTGTAACAATCAAGGCACCTGCAGTGCCTTTGCCGGGACTCCCCACCCTTAGTGTCAACTTAGTGACAGCCCTGGGCTGGGCGGGGCAGGGGAGCTCCAGGCCCCCAGCTCATGTCAGCGCGCCCCGTCTTCAGCTGGCTGTGTCGGGCTCTGCATGAGGCGTATGTTTAAGGTTCTGCTGAAATGAAAGCGAACCCGGGACCTCCCGAGCAGGCCTTGCTGTGAAGCGTCTCCCTGGCTCATACAGGAGCGGCAGCAGCCCCGTCTCTGCTCTGCCTCCTCCCTTGGTGTCCCCTTCTGTCCACGGCCACACTTCCACAAAGGTGGCTTTCTCTGGCCAACCTTATACTCCAGAGCAGATAAACATAGCCTAAATCTGAGAAAAACTTGACTGTACAAAATTCGAGGTTTAGGACACATAAGATCTGATCTCTTAGCAAAATTCGAGGGTACAGCACATTGTTGTTCAGTGTCGTCACTGTGCTGTGCGTTAGACCCCAGAGCTTACTCCCCTTAGAACTGCAGGCTCGTCCCTTTCACCCACACGATGCACTAAGTCACTAATGGTGGTCACGGCACCATGTGTGTCAGGCCAGCCGGTGTGCGTCTTCAGTACACGTAGCTTTGTCGGCTAGGCCTCCGGGAAGCTGGGGGAAAGCATGTGAGGTGCGGAATTTTGCCCAGAGCACATAACTGTCTTGAATCCAGAGGAGGTTCAGTCCCAAGATGTGTGTTAAAATTTCGCTTTGTGTGTGACTTTCACCCGGGCAGGTCATGGGCGGTCATGTGATTCTTTAGATTTGGTTTTTGTCGAGGAACAGTGCAGGCCATCCCTAACACAAGGACACTTAGTGCCAGTCCCCGTTTGAACTGCAGGTGACCACTGACCTCTCTCCTCCTCAGTCTGGGCCTGTGCTCTGGGGGATGGGGACCAGCTCACATCCTGTAGACACTGACCCCGAAATCATATCACTTAACGTTCACTAACATCATTCATAAACCCAACCCCTGTTTCTGCTTCTGTTGTCCCATAAATGTGATTTTTTTTTTAACAAATTACACTCTTTTGTTTTGACTCTAGATGATGGACGGGCCAGTACAAAATGATCCAGATCTGAAACTTGCGGACCACCCCCGCTTCTGTGAGGAGATAAAACGAGACCTGCCTCCCTACACCACGTTCTTCACAAGAGTGTTTCGGAACAAAACGTTCCATGTTTACAAGCTATCCAGAAACAAGTAACAAAGCTTCCTGTTTGTCTCTATTTTTGATACGTGAAACTCCATCGTAATGAAACTGAATAGATAACGTTTCATATGTAATTAGGTAGCTTGCACCTTAAAGCTGTGAGAAGAGTAAATTCTACAGATGTTTACACGAGTGTTACCACCCTTGAAAGTGTCTCATACCAGCTGGAGTCTGTCTTGTCTCTGCCTTTCCCACTCATGGTCTTTGTCCTGAGAGTGACCCACAGCGGGTGCCTCACAGGGGCCCAAAAGCCACGTGTCGTGTGAACCCAGAGTGCGTTCAGATTTCAAACACTTTCATTTTCAGTTGGCTTAGGACAGCGATGGTTGAGTTGAATTGAGGGGATGCATAATTAAATTATTTAGTGTGATTTCACTGGTCTAGACCAACTGGTAGCTTTTTAAAAGCTCTTTATTGTCCTGTTTCACCTAAAAGTTTTATAATGTTTTCCAATTATCATGCTTTTAATATTTCAAAAAATCATGTTAGGTCTTTGTCTATGACCAACACTTCTTGTGCTCTGTCTGAAATGTAATGTGTAGCACTTCAGCGATGTGTGGCATGTATTACCTGTGTGTGTGTGTGTGTGTACACGCGTGTGCGTGCATGTTTTCATGCTGGACACCGGAAGGCGTTTCAAGTTCCTGATTGTGTGTCTTTAAAGAGCAGAAATGTCTTCAGTTGCGTGTAGCCAGGTACCTGTTACTGTTTAGTGTCATTATTGTAAAACCTGTCAATACTGTTTAACCTATCCTGCAAGAAAGGTCAGTTTTCTTTATTTCTTACTTGTTTAAATTTACTGGGTTTGCAGAATTTTGTAAACTTTTTGTTTTTAGCCTTTGTATTTTTTACAGCCTAGAACCTCGCAAAGTCTGAATATTTTTTAAATATTGTATCTTAACAGTTTCACTAATACAGTATTTTTGGCCGAGAGCGTTTTCGTACCCAGTTCGATTGCGGTCTCCAGTCTCACTGTGAGGGCTTTTCCTCGCTAAAGGCAACAAGTGCCTCTGAGTCACGCTTACTCGTAAATGGCGGCAGAGGGTGACATGTACCTGCTCAGAATTTTTGATAATTGCTTTTATAATTAATTTCTAATCATGGGGACATGTAAAAGTTGCTGGTAAAAGCATGTTGTGTATTTAATTAAATCAAGATGGCTAATGAGATTAACTTTCTCCCCTGTTCTTGCCAGTTGGAAATGATTTAACTATTTCTCCTTGCAGTTGGACTGAAGTAAATTACCACAGGTATTACGTGTTCAAACGATTTTATATTCAGTTACTACTTATTAAGCAGCATTCTAAGAGAAATTTTACGCTGTCATGAACTCAAGGGTACTCTGCTTTTATGAAAACTTAAATAAAAATTGACGGTGGCTTGGGTTTATTATGCAACTGAAACTCCAAAATTATATCTTTCTTGTGTCCCTTAATAAGTTTGGAGACTGCAGTTTAAGATAATACAAGAATAAAATATTTCAGTCAACCCCGCAACTTTAATGAAGCCAGCAGCGCTCACGCCTGTGGGAGCTGGCGGCGTGCGAGTGCCTTACTCTAACGGGAACCAAGCACACGTACGGTTCAACACGTTGGACTAGGTAACTTTGTTTTAAAATCCTCTGTTACTGTCTCAGATATATTTCAATTTATTTCAGATATTCCTTTATGCATTAATGTAAGCGTTTGGGTATTTGAAGTCTCAACATACAAGACACGTGTACTTAAAATTTTATGCTTACCATCACCGTCTTGATGACATACAGTAATCTTCTCTCATAGTTTAAGTGCCATGTTGCCAACACATTTAGTGTTCAGTCTTTGGTGAAAAATGTAAACTGCCAAAAAAAACCTTGCAAGACAAAATGCACACATACACTCTTTCCGAGACACTGTGACCATGTAGAGTAGACATTTTTATTCCCGGTGACCAAATCTCACCAAATCACATTAAGTATTTTTAGTGATCGTGAGTGTTCCCTTTTAGGACCTTCTCACAGAGCACATGGAGCAAAGAGGGACACAGCTGACTGCTGACACCCCACCAGGTGACCCGCGGCCTAAGCTCCCTGCCACACAGACCACAGTGGCTGTTACGGTTGGGTCATTACCTCCGATCGTGGCTGTTTTTATGGTCAGAGTAACCCGTTGGTTTGCTTCAGAGCCAGCATTCGCAAGACCCCCTGGGTCCAGTAAGTGTCTCACCCACCCGCACTGGCACGGCTCCCCAGACCCCGGACAGCCTGCGCCCCTCGCGAGCTGACTGCGCCCAGCTCCCCGGGCCCGCCACTGGGTGTTCTTGCAGCTCCTGTCCCCTCTCCCGTCCTCTGCATGCCCGACTGCGTGTGTAAGTACACAATTCACCGTAAACCTAGCAAACGGGGGTAAAAAGAAAGGGTTATTTCTGAAAATATCAATTTGAGTGCTTTGATAAGATTTGATAAAGGTCGAGTTGCTGATATAAATTTCTTTTAAATTAGGTGTGTTTGAGAAAATGATAAAATTTTGGGAAAACAAAATTCAAGAAAATTTCTGAGCTTAGATTTCTTCACCGAGTTCTTTAAGTACTTATTCCACTCTTTAAAAGTCCAGACAGGGAGGTGTTAAAAGGCACTGCATTGTACTCTTGGTGTGATTTATGCCAGAACAGAGCTGGGTCACGGGACCCATGAGCTTCCCACCAGGGGCTTGCAGGGGAGAGCACAACAACACGCTCCGTGTTAGGGGCCCTGCTGTCACCTGCCCACTTCGTGAAGTGACAACTGATGCTGATCCCAATGGCTAATCGAGATTCCACTGTAGCTGAAATCTCGAGATTCCACTGTAGTGAAAGACTCTGTCACTTTCATTACAGACCATTAGGAAATACGAGTTGGTTTCTGATACGTTAGCCAGAAGCAGAACAATCCACTTCTCATGTACTGGGCGGTGGTTTTCTTGACCTTCGTGACATCCACTGGGTATGTGCGTGTGCAAGCGTGCGGTGGGGTGTGCCTGTGTGTGATCATGTGTGTGGGTGTCTCCATACGTGTGTGTTCTGTGTGCACGTGTGTGGGGGGGTGTCTGCATACATGTGTGTTCTGTGTGTGGGTGTGGGTGTGGGTGTGCCTGCATATGTGCATGTTCCGTGTGGGTGTGTGTGTGCACGTGTGTGGGTGCATGGGTGTGTCTGCATATGTGCATGTTCCGTGTGCGTGTGTGTGCACGTGTGTGGGTGCTGCCCAATGGCAAGGACAGATGTCAATATTCCATGTGGGTCGCGTCTTTTCTCCACAACTAACTAAACATGTTTACTGTGGTTGCACGTGGACTTTGTCTAACACATAACAATTTTATCTTTGACCCAAACCTACCTGAATTGACATTAAAACATTCCACTTTCTAAACCTTGGAATTAGTAGGAAGATATTGAAGCGTTCTCAGATCATGTCTCCTGGTTAATATGCTCACAGACACTTGGCACGTGAGAACCTTCAGCCTGAAACAGCGTTGCCTGTTGATGGAGAAAGCTCTCGGGTGGAGAGCAGCTTCTTTGTTGTGACAATTGGTGTTCTGTGCTTAACATCCTGTGAGTAACATCTTACAAAGAGCTTTTATAATTTGTTGCACTGAATTGTATGGAGATTATATACTAAATAAAGCTCTTTTAAATTACACAAGATGTGCCTTCCTTTCCATGAATGTCAGAAACCAAGGCAGCAGCTCAATGAAGCGTGTTCAGCGTGCGCTGAGGGGGTGTCACCGCGCCTGTGGGTGTTCATCCCACTGGCCGGTGTCGAGGGCTGTCCTCACAGACTTGGTTTCACAGCTGCTTGTCGGTCCCATTTGAACCTCAAGGTTACATGTAGGTCCCCAAGGAGCCCCTGTCAGCAGTTTATCCTCAGAGAGGTGAGTGGTGTTTGTTTGGACCTGCACACTTGTTCCTACTTCCTGCCTCAATCCTCTGCCTTTAGTAATTCTGGAAGATGGGTGGTAGCCCACGTTTCCCGTGAGAGTGTGTTGGTGACAGATGGGCTGGTTCGACTTGAAATGTCAAGCAGAAATGCTCAGAGACGGTAGGGACTGGCAGTGGGACGACAAGTGCTCTGTACTGAGTGTCTGCACCTGAGCTGTCAGTGCGCTTGGGCTGGACGCGGCTGCAGCTAAGGAAGGATTACAGATCATGTAGGAAGCGAGAGGTGGCGTGTGAACGGGCCGAGCACATAACCGTTTGGCATGTGCCACCAGCTGCTGGCAGACAGAATGCACTTACTTTTCCCCTCCTTTCAGAAGAGGTTTCTGAAACTCAAATCATCAACCTTTTCAGTTCATTTAATATAGAGACATTTATAGGATTTTTTTTTCAAAATGCAAGATTAGAACTACAGTGTAATGTGAAATCAATTCAGTGGGGTGTAACCAACTATAAAAGAGAAGCAAAGGGAAGGGGGAACGGAAGTGTCAACGTAAGAACCGCAAACCTGTAGAGAATTTTTATGAGTTTATTTGAGCCAAACTGACGACATGTCGGGGACCAGAGCTGCAGTGAATGCCCTGGCGAGCGGCAGTTTGCACTTTCTTTTACACATTTGGAATTAGGGAGGGACCTCAGGAGAGCACACGGAGGGGCAGAGGCAAGGCGGGGAGTGGGTTGCAGGGCGGCTGACAGGACTGTGTGCTCTCCTGAGGCGCAGTACCCCCTTCGGAGGGGTTACTCCTGGCATTTCAAGGGTGTGTGAACCTCGATGCACAGAACAAGGGACAGGCTGGCTCACCGCCCTTCTGCTGAAGACAGTACAGGCCTGGGGCGTGGCCACCCACCCTGACCTGCCCAGGTGGGAATTCGTGATCAATCACCCTGTGAGGTCACTTTGCTTAGAATTCCTTTTTTCGTCCACAGTTCACCCTTTTGGTCATAAATCAGTCCAAAGGATGCATTGATAACCAGCCTTTTGGTCAGATAGTGGGGTCTCACAGGGCTGGGAAGGTTCCTCCTAGTGTGGACGTTGTCGTGCTGACTGTTGGGGGTGGGACAGCGCTGGCACCAAGGGATGCGCTCTGAGGCCGCGCTTTCCCAAAAGGGGAGCCAGCTGGGGTCAGCCAGGGACACTGAGGCTTTAGGTTGGGTCTCCAGGTAGATCCAGGCCTGGGGTGAGCAGCCTTGGAGCGGTTTGGTGGGGACCTGTGGGACAGAGCTTCTGCCTTAAACTGGTTCCTGACAACACAAGTGCAAAGAGTAAAGGCCCCAGCTTGCTGACAGGAGAAGCTCATGGACGAAGGGACTCAGTTGCTCATGGACTGTGGACTTGCAGTTTCGATATGCATGACCGCTCTGGGACTTTCCACCATGGACCTGCTTCACATGCTCGGGGCTTTCTACTGTGGACTTGTAGACGGTTTCTATCTGCCTCAGTTTCACCTTGCCTAGCTGTATCATTGGTTTATATTGTGTATCACATAGCTCGTTGCTGAGGAGAAATGGTTTCTCCTCAGCCCATGAGTTTTAGCTTTAGGGAATCACTCCCTAAAATGAGGAAATTGCTTTCCCTTAAGAATCTTGTATGCCCAATAAACAAGGTCTCAGTTTTGCCACCAGCAGGCTGAGTCCCCCTGTCCCCGCACTGTGTCTCTCTTCTCTTTTATTTCTTGTCTCCCACCCAATCCTCTCAGGGACCGGTTCCGAGAGCTCCTGACTGATGAGCCAGGGGCGTTCGGTTGAGCGAGCTGGTCTCGTTCACAGGTGAGTGGGAGGCACTCGAGCCTTACAGCCTTCATTGCAAGACAAAACCCACTGGACCATTTCTATCCTGTGGACCACTACGATGGAGTTGTGCCCTGTCTCACTTTTCTGTATTTGGCATCTAGTGTAACATTTACATGAGCCATAAAACGAGTATTGACAGTTATACGTGTCCATCAATCATGAGCAGGTGGGCTGTAGAGAAACCCGAAGCACAAGGATAACTTGCTATTGTGACCCATTGCATTAGCAAGCAGGTAAAGACAAACCCTTGGTGCCTGGGCTTCAATCAGTCTGTGGGCACACAGGCCTTCGATGTCTTGGGACAGTCGCCTGCCTCTGGTCTGCAGCTCCTCATCCTGGAGGAGTCTTTGGTGTCTGTAGACGGGGACAGATGTCCACTCACGGTTAGGCGCCTGACAAATCCCCTTCTGACGAAGCTGGGGAGTGTCTTTTATTTGGTGTCCTTTCCAGTAAAAACAATCCCCAGGTGAGTTCATGGCCTCCGAGGTCTTTGTCTCCTGGGAGCTCGTTGTGAAGGGAAGCAGTTACTTGTTTGGCATCTTGAAGTGACTTCATCAGACCTTGGCAATAGTGGGAGGTGTCTTCTTTCAATAATGTCAGCTTGTCGGTTCCTGCATCTGATTTCAGCCCAGCTGAATGCACTTATGCGTGAAGGAACGCAAATAATGA